TGATTCCGTTTGGGCTCACCAACGCGCCAATAGTATTCATGGACCTGATGAATCGGGTCTGCAAAATGATGCTTGATTGCTCGGTTATAGTGTTTACTTATGATATCTTGGTGTATTCCAAGACCCGAGAAGCACGAAGAGCATCTTAGGGAGTTGTTGGGAGTTCTGAGATGAGAACGGTTGTATGCCAAGTTGTTGAAGTGTGAGTTTTGGTTGCGAGAGGTCCAGTTCCTCGAACATCTTGTTAACCAAGAAGGGATTTTGGTCGACCTGGCCAAAATCGAGGCAGTCATGCAGTGGGAGGTGCCGAGATCTCCTTCAGACATCAGGAGTTTTTTAGGGTTAGTAGGGTACTACCGGAGATTCATACGGGATTTCTCCAAAACTATAGTACCTCTCACTCGTCTGACGAGGAAGGGGGTGGATTTCCGTTGGGGCCCTGAGTAGTAGAGGGCGTTTGAGACCCCTCAACAGCGGTTGCACGAGGCTCCAGTATTGACTCTTCCAGAAGGAGTCGATGATTTTATGGTATTCTGTGATGCCTCCATCATAGGACTAGGGGCGGTCCTCGTGTAGAGAGGATGGGTGATAGCTTACGCATCGCGGCAGCTGAAGCCGCATGAGATGAGATACCCTACACATGACTTGGAGTTGGGAGTGGTGGTATTCGCTCTCAAGATTTGGAGACATTACCTCTATGGGGTCTGATGTACCATATACACAGATCACAAGAGCCTGAGACACATCATAGATCAGCCAAACCTGAACAAGAGGCAGCACAAGTGGCTGAATGTAGTCAAGGACTACGATTGCGAGATCCTTTACCACCCTGGTAAAGCGAATGTGGTAGCGGACGCTTTGAGCCGCAAGTCAGCTGGGTCTTCCACCCGAGCGGTATGTATGAGGATAGCGGTGGATTCTTCGCTTGTGAGCTTGATCAGGAATGCTCAAGTTGAGGGCATGCTACTAGAGAACTAGAAGTTGGAGCGGATCAGGGGTGAGAACACCCGGTTTGTGCAGGATAGTCGGGGATTGTTGACCCGATGCGGTCGGGTATGGGTTTCGATGTCTGGTGGGGTCAGACAGACAATAATGGAGGAGGCTTAGAAGTCTCACTTCTTTATTCACCTAGGACCACCAAGATGTATTGAGATTTGAGTTTGAGTTATTGGTGTTCGTGCATGAAGCGAGAAATTGCTTGGTATGTCGAGAGGTGCTTGACCTGTAGGATGGTCAAGGTCGAGCATTAGAGGCTGCACGGTATGCTGCAATCCCTGGAGATTCCCATGTGGAAATGGGAACAAATCACGATGGACTTCATTACCAAGCTGCCAAGGATGACAAAAGGGTTTGATGCGATATGGGTCATCGTGGATCGATTGACCAAGAGTGCCCATTTTCTGGCCATACGGGAGATTTCATCGACCGAGAGTCAGAGCAAGCGGACCATACAGACCTTCGAGGGCATGTTTAGGGAATATGTTATTGACTTTGGTGGGAGTTGGGATTCCCACTTACCCCTTGCAGAGTTCGCCTACAACAACAACTATCATTCCAGCATTGGCACCCCACCTTTCGAGCTGTTGTATGGGAGGAGATGTCGCACCCCAGTTTGTTGGGGTGAAGTCATACATAGGGTGATTGGATGGATGGAGGTAGTCTTGCAGACTACGAGAACATTCAACAGATTAGGCAGCGACTGCAGACCGCTCAAAGTCGGCAGAAGAGTTACACCGACAGACTCCGATCTGAGTTAGAGTTCCAGGTTGGGGACATGGTACTCCTGAAGGTCTCTCCCTGGAAGGGTGTGATCCGCTTCAGGAAGAGGGGGAAATTGGGTCCTCGGTAGATTGGGACATTCAGGATTATTGCTAGGGTTGGCAAGGTGGCTTACAGACTAGAGCTATTAGAGGAGCTCAATCAGATGCACAATGCTTTTCATGTTTCGTAATTACGAAAGTGCATTATGGATAAGGAGGCGGTGGTATCATTGGATGACATTCAAGTCGATGAGCGTCTGTATTATGTTGAGAGTCCCATGGCCATTCTAGAGAGGAAAGTGAATGTTCTACAAAACAAGGAGATACCTTTGGAAAAGGTACAGTGGGAGCACCGAAGAGGGTCCGAGTGGATGTGGGAGCCGGAGGCAGAGATGTGGGAGCACTATATGGAGTTGTTCACCATGGCAGACTTTGAGGACAAAGTCTAGTTCAAGTGAGAGAGAGTTGTAATGCCCCAATTCCCAGGTATTGATTTATGGTTATAAATTTTCATGATTTCAAGGTCTACTCGACGAGTTGGTTGCTCTGACTCGTTGAGTAGCAGTGGGTTGGTCTACGTGTTTAAGTGACCTACTCGCCGAGACCAAGATAGGACTCGACGAGTAGGAGCTGGAGGATGAAACCCTAATTTCTGGGGTTTTGCACCCTATTTAAGGGATCATTAGCCTCCTCTGGCCTCCTTACAGTGCCTTGAGAGCTCATCAAACCCTACGTGTGTGTGTGTGCTCCATTTGTGTGTTTTAAGCTTTAGAAGAGGATTCTTGGTGAGAAGAGCTTGGAGAACAAGTGACTAGAAGCATGGAGCATGTGGGAATCAGAAATCTACCTTAGTTAGCAATAATTGAAGGTATCAAGTCGTTATCTTGACCTCATTTCCTTCTAGATCTCATTTGGGTGAAGTTTAGGGGTTTTCTAGCATATTGGGAAGTTTTTCTTGTGTATGAGCTAAGATCTGAGGTTTCAACTTCATATCTGAGCTCTCTTGGGTCTCTAAGTCCATAAAGCTTCCAGCTTTTTCAAGTATGAAACTCTCCATAGGTGTAAAACACCATTACAAGCTTGGATTTGTCATTTAGAGTCTTTAGATCCTTGCATACATGTAAAGTTTGCAACTTTACGTGATAAACATGCCTTGGGGAATTGGATATGCAATATGGAACCTTAACATGGCTTAAAAAGCATCTAAATGGATGAAGGACTAAAGGGACTCGTCGAGTTTCATGGTCAACTTGGCGAGTCCGATGAAGATTGTCGTGCAATACTTCTGCATGGACTCGGCGAGTTAGTGGGGTGACTCGACGAGTCAACTAGGGTTTTCCTGACATTGGACACGCATGAACTCAACGAGTTGTAGGGAAACTTGACGAGTCAGTGGGGGGATTTCACAACTACTCGAGTTTTGGAAGGACTCGACGAGTCGGTGACTGCACTTGACGATTTGGGTCAACATGAACTGTTGACCTTGACCGTTGACTTTGATTTTGACCAAGGGTTGATTATTTAACTTCTGGGGTATTTTGGGAATTTATGAACATGGTTGTGTGGAGAATATAGGTGGTGGAGTTTGTGGCGGTGATCCGAGAGTTTGATCTTATCTTTCGAGTCGACAGTTGCGAGGTGAGTTATCCTCACTATACTAAGGGGTCTAAGGCACCAAGGTCGGCCCATTGGATATGATATCTTAGCAATTGGTAGTATGTTTAGTATGAGTTAGTGTTGCATGCTAGTTGTTATTCCAGTTAGGTAGATATGTAGGACTACCTGTGTTGTTATATGATTAGTTGTATGCTCAGTGGTTGTGTTATATGTTGATATGTTATGTGGGATGGGTTGAGGTGATACTGCTCTGTGCGGTAACCAACAAACCCAAGAGCATTCCAGATACGAGCTAAGGGAGACTCGTACTGTGGGCTTGAGAGCATTCCAGTTACGAGCTGAGGGAGACTCATACTGTGGGCTTAATGGCAAGCGAGATGTGAGATGTGGGCCCGTAAGGAAATCCAGACTCACACTGTAGGACCATGGGGGTAATCCAGTCTGTAAAGCTATGAACCCAGTACATCTTGTTGTTTATATATGTGTTATGTGCAGTGTATCAGTATTTTGGGGGATCTCACTAAGCCTCGGGTTTACAGTTTCAGTTTATTGTTTCAGATACATCAGGGGATCGCGACAAGGCGAAGGCTTGATCGTACATCTCCTCATGTTTTGTTTATGTTTCTGGGAAAACTCTGATATAGACTATTTTGAAAACAAATTGCTAATAATTGTTAGTTTTAAATGTTTTGAAAATTTTTAAATTGGCTTGAATTCTATGGGTGTTACAAAAAGTCATTAACACAGGCTCTCAACATGTCCTCAAGAGTCTGTATAGTCCGCTCACTCTGGCCATCCGTCTGCGGATGATAGGCTGTACTGAAGTGCAGTCGTGTGCCCTGTATGTGCAATGTACAAGCCAGATTGCATGTACGCTTAGCTTACAACTGAGTACGCCCCACATACTCATCCAGGAGGGTTTTGGCCTTTTGGGCTTGGGTGTTTAAGTTCTTAATAGGCCATCTGAATATGAGTTTCTTGGGATAGGAATTTTGGTTGGGCTTTAGGGTAAGGCCCATGAAAGTGGTTTGGGCCCAATTTGGAAAATTGGTTCAGAAGGTAATTTACTTAATTCTAATTTCAGGTTTCTGAAACTCATAATTTTGTGTTATTAGTTATTGAATCATCTTGTTCGATAATCTGCAGTGTGTAGACAATGGGAAGGATGTTATACACTTAGCAATTATAGATCTATTAACAAGAGTTCTTTGTTTTCACGTGTTTGGCTCTAGTATTATAGTGCTACAAAATATTCCTATATTATTTTAAACGTATATTCAATTCTAATGTTTCATTTGTATAGAGTTAGGTAAGTTTTAGACTTATTGCAACACTACTATCACTCCCAAACACATGTTGGTCGTATCTTAAATAAATATAGTTGATCATGCTATATTTATCCCATATATGATTACATAACTACCCAGGTTTAACCGTAGTGTCCAACATCTAAATAATTGTTCACAACCATGTCGTCCCTTCGAATTTTCTAAGATCCTCTTAGCAATCGATAACTTCAACGAATCATTAGTAATCGGGCATTGGGGATTTGGAAAGGTTTTCAAAGGTAACGTTATCAATGGATCAAGCTTTGTCGTTGTTTCCATTAAGCAGTTAGATTCCATGTCCTCCCAAGGTGAATCGGAGTTCTGGACGGAAGTTAAGATGCTTTCTAAGTTGCGTCACTATCATCTCGTGTCTTTGTTTGGTTACAGTAATTACGAAGAAGAGATGATCCTTATCTACGAATATATGCCGAATGGAACCCTCAAAGACCACCTCCATAAACTTGGAACCCCTCTTTCTTGGGATCAGCGACTCAATATCTGTATAGGTGCTGCTCGTGGGTTAGATTACCTCCACACATGTACCGGGATCGAGTTTGGTGTTATACATCGTGATGTCAAGAGTTCAAATATTCTGTTAGATGATAATTGGGCAGCTAAAATCTCAGACTTAGGGTTGTCCAAAATAGGCGCAACCAATAAGCCATCTACTTACGTCAAGACACTTGTTAAAGGCACATTTGGGTATCTTGATCCAAATTATTTCACAACTGGAATGCTAACCAGGAAGTCTGATCTGTTTTCTTTTGGGGTGGTTTTGTTGGAGGTTTTGTGTTGGAAACGTGCAGTGGATGGAAGTCTTGATGAGGAGCAATGGGGTTTAGTGCCATGGGCTCAAGAATCTATCAAAGAAGGCAATTTAACGAATATAATTGATTCTGGTATAAAGAGTCAAATAACCCCAAAATGTTTGAAGGACTCGCTTATATGCACTCGTAAAAAGAACAAGTCATACACGGTTGTATTAAAACCTTTAATATATTCCTGGATCAGGTATTTAAGTTATTTTAGTGGCGATGCTTTTGGTTTTATGCCATAAAAGTTAACAAATTTATTTTTACTCTAGAATTTTAATGTGAAACTCAGGTACTTTGGTTTGACAAAATTTCACCCTAATATCGATGAGTTACATGAGATGAAAGAGGCTACGAGAAGTAACATGGAGATATCGGGCGTTTTCTAGACAGAGGGGATCAACTTACTGGTAGGTTACCATGTATGAAAGTGATATTTGATCTGGTGATGGTGTCCTACATTAATATGAAGATAAAACATCATAGAGTATCTTGAAAGGTTAATATATCTATATCTTGTGATTATGTACAATAAATATAGTTTCAGAGTGGTGTTTGTTTGAAACCCTAACAAGCCAACGAGCATCAATGTCGGATTTTGGATTTACCTCACTCGCAACAAGATGTGTAGCTGAAGATCCTGAGGCTAGGCCTTCAAGGGAAGAAATTTTGAAGAGGTTGGAGCAAATATATTCTAATAACAAATAATTTATAAAAGATATGAGGTCATACTTCTTAGACTTGGGTTGTTTAATGAGGTACTATACATGATAGATGTACGCTCATTTTTCTACTTTATACTATTCATTTTTGCATGCATCGTAAAATCTTTGCCCATGAAATATTTTTCTTGTTGTAAGTTGAATGATTAATTATTCATGTCATATAAAACGTTTGACTAAAAATAATTCAAAAATAAATTTTAAGAGAGAGCCACGTAGCTTAGCCACGAAATGACCATGCATTTTCCTTGGATGTGTCTTTTATTAAACATTTTATCATACATGCGATCTTAGTCATATTATATCACCAATGAACATAGTATTAATAATATATTTTAAAAGTTAAGACAAATAATGGTTTTTGATAATACAGTTAATAAATGTAATAAGATAAATATAAGAAACAAATAATAATATAATCAGCAGCAATGGCTGCTATTCTTTCGTACGTTGACTATAAAGCTTTTGGAGTAACGTAACGTTGACTTGGTCTCTGTTTAGATGAAGAAGATAGGCTTTGAGTTTTTGTATGGTTGATTATAAATTGTCAGTATCAAGTATGAAGCTACTCATTCTGCCTCTATAACATCAATAATTATGGGCGACGGCAATGAATCTCAGCCCTCGACCTCCTCCTGCATAGAATGGTCACAACCATGCCGTCCCTTCGAATTCCCTGAGATTCTCTCAGCAACCAATAACTTTGATGAATCATTAGTAATTGGGCATGGGGGATTTGGAAAGGTTTATAAAGGTAACGTTATCAATGGATCGAGTGTTGTTGTTGCTGCCATTAAACGGCTTGATTCCATGTCCTCCCAAGGTGAATCGGAGTTTTGGGCGGAAGTTAAGATGCTTTCCAAGTTGCGTCACTGTCATCTCGTGTCTCTGTTTGGTTACTGTAATCACGAGAAAGAGATGATCATCATCTATGAATACATGCCCAATGGAACCCTCGAAGACCACCTCCATAAACTTGGAACCCCTCTTTCTTGGCTTCAACGACTCAAGATCTGTATAGGTACTGCTCGTGGGTTAGATTACTTACACACAGGTACTGGGATTGAGTTTGGTGTCATACATCGTGATGTCAAGAGCTCTAATATTTTGTTACAAGACAACTGGGCAGCTAAAATCTCAGACTTCGGGTTGTCCAAAATAGGGTCAACGAATCGGCCATCTACTATTGTCAACACACTTGTTAAAGGAACTTTTGGGTATATTGATCCAAATTATTACACAACTGGAAGGTTAAATAGGAAGTCTGACGTGTACTCTTTTGGGGTGATATTGCTGGAACTGTTACGTCGGAAACGTGCGGTGGATGAAACTCTTGATGAGGAGCAATGGGGTTTAGTGCCATGGGCTCAAGAATCAATAAAACAGGGCAATTTAAAGAATATAATTGATTATAGTATACGGCGTCAAATATCCCCAAAATGTTTGAGGAAGTTTGTTCGAATTGCAGAGAGATGTTTGCACATTAATCCAAAGCAGCGTCCTACCATGGCTGAGGTTGTGGTGGTTCTTGATTCTGTACTGACCTTACAACAGAAAATTGACAGTTCCTTTCAAGCTGCTGGTAAAACGATATATGGAAGAATGATGTATATGCTTCCGTTACCCTTCCAAGGAGAGAATTTGGGTATTTTTAAGCTCCTAATCATGTGTATAGATTCTTTGAATTTTTGTATGTCCGATTTTGCATATATTATATATATAACCTGTTTGTATTTATATACTTCAGCCAATGATGATTCAAGGCTATCAAGTAATAGCAAGGACAACAACGATTCCACAAATCCTATGAAAGTATTTAAGTTTTCTGATTTGGAAAGGAGTACAAGCAACTTTAGTCAAGATTTGGTCATCGATAGTGATGGTTATGGTGAGGTGTTCTTAGGTTGGGTTGATGAGAAAACATTTGCCCCATCAACAAAGGGTGTTGGAATTACTGTTGCTGTTAAGAAGTACTCTAAAGGTTTTCCACAATGGCTGGTAAGTGTATATATATATATATATATATATATATATATATATATATATATATATATATATATATAGCACCTGACTTTCGGTTACTTTTACAACATTGTATTTCTAGTTTCTTTTCTTATTGAGCATTGCACTTTGAAAAATCTAACCCTACTTTAGCATTATACTTTAATTTTTATTGTCTTATTTGGACATTATACTTCGAAAAATCCACCCAATCATAATAATGTAAATTACTATATATTTGATGACGTTGCTATAATTTGGTAGATTTCTCAAAGTACAATACTGTAATAGGACAAATGGAAGGAGGATGCTATAATAAAAAAATTAAAAAAAAGTGTGTTGCTGTATCTTGCATTTAACCGTATATGAAAATGCTAAGTGAAGATCACCCAAAATTTCCTCAGATGTTCCTTTTTCTATACAGAAAAAAAAAAATCAAGAACACAAATTTTTACTTGTCTTTGTTTTTTGCCAATTCACTTTGTTTCTGTCCAACCATGGGAAAAGATGGAAATGTGAGGATTCGGATGGAATTAAAATTAGACATATCTCTGTTTTATGATGTGAATGCAACTCAGGAGTCCTTTCTTCGAACAATGTTAGAATTTTTAATTTATAAATTCTTTTGTTGAATATGACTTCAAATTTTGTGAGTTCAGACAGTGGTGACTAGCTGTGTACCGTTGGCTCATCCAAATATTACTAGTCTCTTGGGATACTCTGATGATGAAAAGCCTAATTGCTTGCTTGTTTACGAGCACATGGATATGCATAAGATCCGAAATTTTAGTCGCTACTTATTCGGGAGTAATATACTTGAATCTCTCTCTTAAAAACTAATTTTGAATTATTTTTTACTCAAAAGTTGAACTGTTGCAATGCAAATAGATGTTGTCGAACCACTTTCATGGAAAAGATGCCTTAGGATAATGATAGGAGTAGCCCATGGACTCGATTATTTGCACTCGTCAAAAGAGCAAGTCGTACACGGTGGTATTAAAACCTATAATATATTGCTGGATCAGGTACTTTCAAGTTTTTTAGGGGCAATCTCTTTTTGGTTTTCGGCCATAAAAGTTGATGAATTTATTCTTCTTCCAGAAGTTTAATGCGAAACTCGGGTATTTTGGTTCTGCTAAATTGCACTATAAATTCCATGAATTAGATGACATGGAAGATGCTACTAGAAGTGACATGAATATCATAGGTGATTTACAAGCAAGGGATCAACATACTGGTAAGTTAGCTTGTATACATGAAGTGATATTTGAATGGGTGTCCCACATCAGCTAGACAGTGTCACATCTACTTTCGTTATGTCCTCTCTCTCTCTCTCTCTCTCTCTCTCTCTCTCTCTCTCTCTCTCTTTTGGAGAGAAAATCTAGGACTCCACCTATCTAACAACTAGTGCGTTTTGTTTTGTTTTTTTTTTGTTTCAAGACAAATTATTCCCTACAAAGCATAAGAATAAGCCATTTTTGATAAATTGTGGAAACATTAATATGAAAAAATGTAGTTGTAATTGCGAATCTCAAGTCCATATTTGCAAAAGAGCAATAGTTTTTTCTTTTAATATAGCCAAGTTTAGTGGCTTGAAAAGTCCATATATCTACATTTTGCTAGTATAAACACTACAGGTCTTTGTTGCAGGTGATTTGACTGTGAAAGGAGATATCTATAGTTTTGGAGTGGTGTTGTTTGAAACCCTAAAAGGCCAGCGGGCATGGGTGACGAAGTATGGGTTCACTTTGGTAAAATGGGTATTGCCATTTTTAGATGACATAAGCAAGCTAAGACTTGTAATAGATCATCGTCTTAATCAAAATTATCCTATAGAAGGTGCTTTTAAATGCATTGCACTCGCAACAAGATGTGTAGCCGAAGATCCTAATGATAGGCCTTCAAGTAAAGAAATTTTGAAGAGCTTGAAACAAATATATTCCCATAACAAATAGTGGATAAAAGATATGATCTCATAATTCTTAGATTTTGGTTGTTTAATGGGAGACACTTGTTTAAACTTTATTTGTTTTGGCCTTTTAGTTGTCTTGTTTAAATTCTCATGATAGATGAAGAGTCAATTTTTTTGCTTTATACTATTCATTTTTACATGGTAAAATCTTTATTGTTAGTCGTTAGACCATCTCCATCGGATTTTCAAACTCCTTGCAAGTACATGTAGGATCTCCTATTGCTATACTTGAAAGCCTTGCAAAGGCTCTAGTTGGTCCCACTATATATATTTAAATCTTTTTCATATATTAATATATTAGTCGTTAATATAATTATACGTTAGATACATTTTTATTTATTTATTTATTTTACAAATACATTAACAATGATAATTGGTAATTACAGATTTTAACTTATTATATTTATGTTATAGCAATTCATAGGTCGATGATCCTCAATTTTTTTAATAAATTAACTTTATATATATATATATATATATATATATATATATATATAAAGTAATTGTTGATGTAGTAGTGGAGACCACATTTAAAAGATGAGTGTTATTGCACTGAAGTAAGTAGTCATTACAAAATTGATGTAGTACAATCGAAAGACTAGTGGCATTGTGATGTGGATGGCATTAGTGTATCTCATATCAGTGTGACATGGTCCAATACTCCAATATATACATTGGACTCTCTCTTCTCTTCATAAGAACTATTTTAAAGAGAAAAATCTTGCACTCCACATATATCTTACATTTACCCACGAAATGTTTTTTATGTTATTTTAAATCAATCAAAATGTGATTCAGGTTTAATGTGCTTGTCCAAGAAACTTAAAATGACCCTTTATATATAATGCTGCCCAAAAGCAGAAGAAAACTCATTATAAAGGGTTTTTGTAAGCTAAATATACCTAACCCAGATATTCATATGCTACGTAAGCAAGAACATTGCAAAATTACCCTGACCATAGTTATAAATGAAAACATGTAAAAATTATGTAGCCTCCGATTTCTAAACTCAAAAGCATATTAAGGGTGGGGAAAAAAGCACGGGTTGACAATATATTGTTGTCCGTTTCACATTAACGCAATGTACTAATTTTCTCATGATAAATAACAATGTAACTCCCCTCTTTCATCAAAATAACATCAATTTTGTTTGCCGAGACTTTGGTCTCTTCCAAAAAAAAACTGTAAATAACAGACAACAAAACAATACTTCAACAACGAATTATACAATCTAGAACATTTATTTGCCGTAAAATACGTAAGTTGTTACTCTTATAACCTGAATTTTGAAACTTAAAAACGTGCAAGCTTTATCAGCATCGTAGCAACTAGCATCTAGCACCAATGCCTTATGGGAGTACATCCTTCTAAATTGTGATGATTTTTCACTCCAATATCCACAATTTTTTGGCACGTTTTAGTCAATTGGGCCTGGAAATTAAATCAATAATATTTTTGAAGAAATATTAACCTACTCGACTAATAGGAATTAAAATTTACTAGACGTTTAGTTGACAAACAATGTTATGAAAAGTTTATTTATTTTTATATTTCGAAGTTGATTTTTTTAATGTCAACAAAAAGTGGAATATAAATTAAAAAAGAGGGATAATCACAAAAACATTAATTTATTATATTAATTGGAATTCAGATGTACGTGTAGTTTTTTTTTTTTTTTTTTGAAAGAGCAAGATGTACGTATAGTTGGCAAACAATGAAATGAAATGAAATCCAAGTTTACCTATTTCTTTCTATATTTCTATTTGATTTGTAAATATGTCAAAAAATTTAATATAAATTTTTTGAAGGTTGGCTAAAAAAACACTCCAATATTTCATTTAGACGTCATATTTGATTTTTAAGGTTTTTTTATTGATTAAATTAACATTGTTTTTTGAAAAAATAAATTATAAATAGTTTATTATTAGTTGATTTTTAATAAAAATATTTATAAGTGATGTCAAATCTAACTGCACCTATTTTTTTATTAAAAAAAATGCATAATCACAAAAATGATAAAGACTAGGGCCTCTAGGTATCTTAGAACCCCATGAGTGTGGGTGTAATGTGTATGTTGACTTTTCACACACATGTCCCATCAAATGGGAGTTTTTTAGCAACACACTATATAATCTATCTTTTGTTGTTTTGCGACACTTCCCCAATAGTTAAAGAAACTCTCCCAAAATTCTCTTGAGCGCACATTTCACGATCCTTTCTGTGAACATTTCTTGCAACCAATTTCCAAACTCATTTCATGAAATGTCTTTTCATGCTATGCTTATTAGCATGTTGCAAACCAAACTCCTAACTTATTGTCCTTTTACCAAGATAACTTTCCATGCACTAGAAACAGGTTGTGATGCCCTAAACTTATTTTGCAAAATGATTTTTTAAAGTATTACTATTTTCAAGTTATACTTTGATTATTTAACATGTTGGGTCAACATGGTAGTATATATACTTATAAAAACTCCTAAACTATTGTATTTTTACCAAGATAAATTTTCGTGCAACAGAAAACATATCATTTCACAAAATGGCTTTTTCATATTTTTCTAGTTATGATTTAATTATTTAACATGTTGAGTCAATATGGTAGTGTATTTACTTAACCAAACTACTAGTTTTTAGCACAGCTAATTTGCCTGGATATTGTTTTACGAACTAGGAACATCTTAAACCCTAATCCATTTTCAACAAATGGTTTTTCCGTTCATTTTTTTTTCAAGTTAGGCTTTGATTATTTACAGTGTTGGGTCAATGTGATATATTTATTGTTTAACAAACCAACATGTTAAAGAACCCTCACCTGTTTCCAATAGTAATATATTTATTTAATTCAATGTTATTTCCTTTCTTAAATTATGTGTTGAATGGTTGATCGCATTTGTTTGGTCATTGTGATTTTTACAAGACAGCCTACAGCAGAGAATATTGGAAGTCGTTGTCTTACTTTAAAGAGTATCCCAAAGGATACAGAATGAAATTAAAATTCCTCGCATAAGGGAAAAAAATTAAAAAAATAAAATGGAATTGAATAGAAAGAAGCAAAAGATGAGATATTAAAACATGCAAAACCATTCGAAACTATAAACTTGTAAAATCAAGGATGATATATTTGTTTGGATATGTCATATGTAATGTTACAACGACAATGAACTTTTACATTTAGAGTGTGATTAGATAATCTGATTATCAATTAAGAGGTTGCAGAGGCCATCACATCGTCTGAATCCACTTTTAGCTGTTGGATAAAACATCAACAAAGATTGTAACTTTCACCTAGCTATTCCACAATTTTATATATGTAAAAAAGTTATACTTTACCTGATGAAAGTGCTTGAGTAGAGCTGTTTGCAAGAGGCTTCTTAGCTTTTCACATTGATCAACCATATGGTCTGAACTGATTAAGTCCCCAAGCTTACACCACAACCGTTCAATTGTTGTGTATGGAAACCAGACTGCAGATGTTCTCTTCCTACCAACAACATCAGCTGGTCTCTGCAGGCAAATATAAGAAATAATTAAAACTATTGAATTTTAAAAACAACAGCTAGTAAAAGCTGATTAAAACTATAATAAAAACTGAAGACATTACATACCAGTGATGCAAGGGATTCAATATAATGAAGCAGGAGATTGGTAGCCTCTGGATATCTCCCATAATCAACATAAAGTTGGAACAGTGATGCAGGACTTGATTCAGCCCCAGACATGCCCCAACTTCCCTTCACTTTCCCCTATCATTTGCAAATAACTTCATCTCTTTAATATAACATCCTACTTTCAATTCTATAATCTAAATGATTTCTTAATTATAATAATTTCTACATGGAAGGAAACTCTCAGTTAATAAATAGAATGTAAATTCAAAAATACTTTTAAGGACCCAAACAGAAGTGGAAAATTACTAAAATACCTTGAACATCTGGACAAGCCAAAGAGGGAGTTCAATCAGTCGATCAGCACATAGAAGGGTTTCTGCAACAATAACTGGCAATCTTGGATGAAAACTTTTATATTTTTCCTGCATTCATAGGATTAAATTAAATGAATTAGTATCGATAATCGAAGCAATAATAACCAGGATACAAAATAAGAGTAAAAGGAGATACTAACTATGTATTGTTCAAGTGCATCCCACTGGTCATTTCCCTTTGAATATTGTGTTGCAGAAACCATGTCATGAGAATCATGAGCAGCCTCGTTGTTTGATGATGTAAGAAGCAGACTCTGCTTTTTAAAATTATCCCTGGAATAAATATCAACAATTATAATCCTACTTCCATCTAAAGATATATAATCACATGAAAAAAAAAAAAGGTTAAATGCAAGATATAGCAATGCAAATAAATAATAGTAAGTTGCTATTTCTTGCATTTAGTCCAAAATAATTAAAACAACAAACAAAGAGTTAAGAGTGAAACCTGGTAGGACAGCATTTGAGGGACATGGCAATAAAAACTCTTTCCAGTTCCCTGAGCAAGAATTTATTGTTCTTCCATCAGCAATAAAAAGGTAAAAAAGTAACAAAGGAAGCATATGGAAAGAGTGAATTCTTTATAGAAAGTGAAAAGTCCAGTATACCTCTTTAATTCTGAACCCTTAAAGAATTTAAGAATTACTGTAAAAACCATATCATATAGATTTGACTGAACCAACAACTCAACCAAGTTTGGTGGAGGCTTCTCAATCCCTGAAAGAGTACCCAAAAACAAATAGTATATTAATTCTCATGGCATTTACTAAACAATAACACAATATTAGATTACAACACTTTCTTCATACATGTATTCATTTTAATTTGTTAATTACTTAAATAAATTTAAATAACATGATAAATTATAAATTATAAATTCAAATCTGCAAAAGAATAAAAATGACGTAAATTAAAATTTTATATTTTTTATTTTCTATTTATAATAATAAAAAAAACCATATATATTATTTACTTATTTAAATTTAGAGTAAACTACAAAATGGTCCCTAGCTTTCTGATTTTTACCACTTTCAATCCAAAATTATAACCGTTTTCAACTTCAGTCCTTATTTCAAGGTTTTATATCGAGTTTTGGTCTCATGGAACTTTGAATATGAAATCTTGAAATAAAGACCAAACTTGAAAAAGGTTTCGATCTTAGAGTAAACATGAAAAAATCAGAAAGCACAGGGACCATTTTTGCAATTTTCTCTTTATTTTATTTTCAAATACATTGATTTGTATGAAAATAATAAAAACTATATAACTTAAAAATGGTAACACACATAAATAAGCTGCACACACAGAGGTTTTGTTACAGCGAAGATACATTAACATTTTTAAAATCTTTGCTGACTTGGCAATGACATAGCACAAATAAGTAATAAACAACAGTCTAAGAAGTCATTCAAAGTTAGTACCTGTAAATGTCCATTTAATATTTGCCAACGAAAGCAAATACTCCGCTGATGTCAGCACAAACTCATTTTCAAGTTTCTCAATATCCATACAGGAATCCAGTTTCTGAACAGGGACATGATCATTAGCTTCTGCAAAAACAAACAAATCACATACATAAATAGATAAATCTGATACTTTCCCAGATAGTAAAAGTAAGCTTTTTTTTTTAAATTACCCTGATCTTGAACTGTAATTCTCGCCTTTTTACTTGGATATAAGTCTTTATGATTAGACTTCCCTTGAAGTGAAGGAGTGATCCATGCACATGATGGATGAACAAGATGAAGTGCATTTATAGTAGCAGAAAGACAATTCAGCCTTTCTTGCAAAGTCAATGATCTGAGCTGGCAATCTTTTAAAGTCGCTTCATTTTTCAGTTGAAGTGAATGAAGATACATATAAGTTGCAGCCTTACGCCAATTATGCTGATGCATTTCAAAGGCATATAGTAATTTATAAGGGTTTGGTTTCACCAAAACATCTGAACGCTCTGCCTGCAGAACAAACATATTTTGAATTATTAAAACTCCAAAAAAGATTTATTACAATAAAAAAATAATTATATATTACACACCTTCCAAGCAAGCTCCTGCTCTACTTTCTCAGCTAAACCAATTAATGGTAATTGGCCATCACAAAGAATCTACAAACAAAAGATATTGTAAAAAATTTGTAATCCATATGACTCAAAAGAAATGGATAAGTGCAAAAAATATATGAAAGTAACCTTAGTTGCACCACGTTCATAAAGAACGATGATAAAACGCCTCAAGCAGATGTATTTGCTTTCTTCATCTGGATTTGAAATAATGGCACAATATGCATCATGGTAATTGCTCAAATCAAGTGTAAACTTGAATACATTGGCCCAAAGTCTTCCTTTAGCAATATTTGGAGATTCGTTGAGAAAATCTGCCCCTGAATAAGTGTCTTTAAGGCCCAAAACTTCATCAACTTGTTCAAGTGCAGCAAGGGCAAATTGGCATGCTCCTGCGCTCATATTATATTGCTCAAATATCTGCATTGCCCATTGATAGTAATGAAGTTTCCATGCTGCAGGGGAGACGTGATCAGCTGCAGACAAGTGTGTTATAAGAACCATGGGGTATCATATCAACAAAATATTCCACTTTTAAGCATCCAGAATTTTAGATAGACTTACAGATGCCAAGGTGAGGCATTCCGGATTCATATGATAAATTCTGCAATGACTTTGATGCCCCTTGCAAAGATGCAGCTCTAGAAACACAACAAACATATCAGCTTTTAAAAGCATAATGCTTTTTACCATTAAGTGACGTATGGATAAAGTGCTAAGAGGATGCATGATGTCAGTCTGGAATAAATGCATTAAGTCAAAAAGAAACACCACTATATATATTTGTCTATTTTGTCGACTGGATGAACTATCTAAATGTGAGTAAATGACCCTATTACCCTTCTGTACATATGAAGTCAAAAAGAAACACCCCTGTGTATTGTCCTTTTTTGGATGAATGAACTGTCTGAATGCGAGTCAATGACTGTTTTACCCTTCTTTATGTATTAAGTCAAAATAAAACAGACCTGAATATCTGTCCCTTTCTTAGGCTAAATGAACTGTCTGAATGTGAGTAAATCAAATGACTATTTTACCCTTTTGTATGTATTATGTCAAAAAGCATCACCCCCTAATGAGCTGTCTGAATGCGAGTATATGACCATTCTACCCTTTTGTATGTGTTAGGTCAAAAAGAAACACATCTACATATATTTGTCTCTTTTTTGACTAAATGAATGAACTGTTTGAATGTGAGTAAATGACCATTTTACCCTTCTGTATCCGTAGCCATCAAACTAAAAGATGATGAATGATAAACGATACATTAATAGATGATATGTCATATAACACATACCTAAAAAAGCAAGAAATAGCTTCATTAACTTTCTTTTCAGTAGAACCCCGTGGGGCTTGACGATGTGCTTGTGAAAGAAGACAGCAGCCAAGAAGGTGAAGAAGGGTGCACCATTCATTGTTTACACCCTGAATACCACTAGATGTTTTCTCCTTGAGTATATTTTGGTTCACCATTGTAAGAAGATGCTTCAAAAACAAAGATATATACAAACTTTTTACTATGTTTCTTGATATTATAAAAAATTGTTTGTAATGACACAAAGAAACAAACCTCAACAGCATCAAACTGCCCATGTTTAAGCAAGATCAAAGCAAGCATAGTTGAGTGAGTAGAAAAAGAAGATGACACGTCATCACTCCTTCCCCAAACTATCCGGCTTATGAAGTTTCTTACTGGAGCAATGAAAGAGGTGGGATTTGGAAGGTGTTTTGAATCAACACGGTTTTGATCTTTGAAAAAACTTTGATGATCAAGTAACAAAATAAAAGCCAATGTAAAGTCACATTTTCCAAGCTTGTCATTCCATGATCTTCGATCAATGCTGTTATCTGATAGAGTGTATTCATGAAATGTGAAAACTAAAAACACAGACTAAAAAAATGATTAGGTGAAGACTGAAGAGTTTATAAAATATGGTTACCAATTTGTAATAAGGAGAGTTGAGAACTGAAATCTTCTATGGCAGGTGATTCAGAAGGTGTGGTTGAGAAGAAATGTATTATATGCCACTCAGTAATAATTTCTTGAATCAATGGAAATAATTCAAGTTGCACCCTGGAAACATCATCAGGTGACATATTTATCTGCATATGTAAATTTAAAGAATAAGGTTCTAGCTTTGTTTTGACTTTATTCTTGTATGTATGTACTATGTATATATGCATAAACATAGAATAAAACATCAAGTGCTGACCTGGCCACCCAACTTCACCATGTAGCTCAGCAGCAATAGTATCCCCACTGCAGATTCAAACATCACTTGAGCAACTTGTGAAGTTGCTTGAACTGTTATGCAAGTACTAATATCAAAAACAGCTTCAGAACCCAATTTCTGTTCATTCTTTTGAGGCACTAAATAGTTCAAGTATTTCAATACAACATCTACAACTTTGTCCCATGTTGAAGCTTTTTTGTAGAGACCATGAAGAGATAAGAACATATGCACAGAGAACTTCCTTAATGCTTTGTGGTCATCAATTTCCTTTTTCCAAGCATTATCAACACCTAACTCTGAGACATGAACAGCTGCTATTGAAGAAGTGTATCCGGTTTCTAGAACCTTCAAGAAACGTCCAACAATGTCTTCAGGGGACATAGATTGTTCACTGAAGAAAGATTCGTAAAATAAAGCAGGGGTGCCTTTTCCTAGCTGTTGGCTAAGACTATTTGTGCATGACAAAACCTCACAAAGTAATTCCTGTTCAAGATCATTTGATAAGTTGATCCTTGAGCTTGCAGATTCACCAAGTTCATCAAAAGATCCTATATAGCAAAGGAAATATTGAGAATGTTATATAGAAATTAAACATTGTGTTCAATTTATGTTACTAATCATGTTTGTCATTAAAAACAATTCGATTTGTGTTGTTATTAATATAAAAATGAACAGTTATTTATAGCAGTTCTTAAAGAAACAGTTTTTTGTTATTTACCATCATTTCTAAACAGAAGGGTAAAATGGTCATTTACTCGGCTTCAGACAGTTCATTCAGTACATTCTGATTGAACTCTTAGATTTTTTTGGGTGATCAATGTATAAAAAACTCAATATGTAAATCTACTAAAAAAAATCTTTATATGTAAACATACCAAGGGCAAGAAGCTCTATATCTTCCAAGCAACGCAATAGAGAAACTGATGATTTTCTTATTAAACCAATCGCACCACTTGATGTATCAAAAAGTAATCCACATGCTGCATTCTTCTTATCCCAATTGTAAAAATAGTGTTCACAGAAGTTTCTCCAGCAGTTTATAAGTGAAAGTGGATTCCTGGAAACACCCTATCACAATTAACATGGTTAACAAAACTACCTTCATAAAAAGAATAACAAATAATAACATAACTATAGTTATAACTTCAAACCTCATGCTCGATTACAGAAATAATCTCCTTTTTTAGTCCATCAGCAGTTAAAGAGTGAAACTCAGAATCAGTCAAGTGTCTGTTATGATCTTGTAGTGTTTCTCGGATAACAGAATTATGGAAAATGCCTGGAAGAAATAGCATACGCATGAAGACTGAAGACACACGAGGGGCAATTTGGTCCTGCAAAATTACAGGAAATAGCAACACGCTTTACTCTTTTTTACCAATATAGGCAATGTAATGTGTTTTTTAACCATAATACATACATTTTTTTACTCAAAATAGAAACATACTTGCATCTGTTTCCTGATAATAGCAATATGTAACATAAAACTTGTAAGCATTGTACAAGCTTCTGGTTATATATTGCTATTATCAGTAAAAAAATGTAAATACATTGCTATTAGGGGTAAATATAGCGTAAAAAAATTAAATGGCAAAAACTTCACACTTCACAGCACCTTTGTGGATGAATATAGTGAATGAGCAAGCCAAAGAAGATCATATGCAGCATTGTTAGAGCTTTGAAATAGTTGTTCAGCAACAACTGTTTCTTGTAAGCAAAAGCGTTGCTCGAATTCCCTAACATTTGCAAAAAATAATCAGATATTATAATCAACTAAAAATAGAAATTCAAACCAAAAGTGTGACACAAGTCGATAAAATCACTAATATAAACAGTAGAAATGCATAAATATAGCAAGACTTTGTAATAGAAGCCTTACCCACGCTCACATGGACTTAACAAGTTGTGCAAAACCAGTCCCTGTTCTTTGAGTATCCAAATTTTATTTGAAGAAAGTTTGACATCAATGAGTGGACCCTAACAAAATCCCAATGATGAGAGTTGGAGATTTTACATGAAATTTTCTAAATTAGAGCAAGGAATATTTGATAATATGACTCACCCCTTCCATGGAGATGTTCATTGTTGAAGGCTCAATAAAATAATTAGTCTTCCCTCCCATACTAAGATGCAAACTGTATACAGATATCATCTCCCTATCAACTTCCTAAAAGTTTAAGAGGGAAAAAATTAAAAAAATGTATATGTTTACAAGTGTCCTTAAAGAGAGCTCAAAGAAATTAACTTGCAAAATATAGAAGTCACTTTGAATCTGGAGTTCTGGACCTTACTATTTTTATAATAAGGATGAATTAAGTAGCAATAAAATCACTAATGGGATAAAACAAGATCATAAATGAAATCATTATTGAAGAGAGTTATTAGTTTAAACGCATTGGAAATACCGGCTTAGGCTTATGCAGAACTGCAAGAGGTAATATACTTGTATCATGGTTATTTTCTCCTGCCCATAACCTCATGAATGTAGCTCCTAAAATCATACAAAAAAGAAATTAATGGCAAATTGACAATAACCACAATATACTTCATTATTTCAGATATGAGAATAGATAAACATCAGAACATGTTTCCACTTGTGCACTTGCTGGAAAGCAGAAAAGGGTTCAAATAACTATAATGTTGCATTTAGAGGTCCTTTTTTCAGATAAAGAGTTCACGGATTAAGAAATTCCATTAACAAAGACTGATATTGCAAAACAAAAAAAAACAAAAAAAAAAAAAAAAAAAAAAGGATAACAGGACTTGCCTTCCAATGTTGAAGCATTCATGGTATAACTCAGAAGTCTACTAAAACTCAAAAGGTCCCACAATTGTAAAACTCCATCTAAATGTAACACAAGGAGAAACCTTTTCCCTTGAATATGTAAACATACCAGATCCTTCACCGGGGCTATGGTCCTCCTGTATGATAATTAAGAAAACAGTTTAATCAATTTGAAACAATAGTATATAGTTTATATTTTACTATATAACTCGGAGTGCAGAAACACTGCAACTCTAATATTCAGATACATCATGATGATTCAGTGAGCTTTTACAGCATTCTAAAAAGATAAAAGATTGCCTAAACCAGTCTCAAAGCATATTTTCTAAAGAAAATTAAACAACAGAAGTTAAAAATTACCTCGACATTAAACTCCACAATCGACCAAAACTGGAATCATCTCGTAGTTCATGCAGAAAACCTAAGATTTAATTGAAGTATCGTTAAAAACTATGTTAATTTTCCACATGTCATAAGAATCCATGGAAGTTAATAAACAACATGACAGATAGTAGCATGTGACAAGACCACACACAATAGCACATCCTTTCAGGCTTTCGTATTACAAGGTAAATCAAGACTAAGTATAGGGAAACCGTATGATTAAACACATCTGAAAGCAAATTTATGTAAATATGTACACTGAGAATGTAAGAGAAAAGTAGCCTGTAACCTGGATCACTAGAATCAAGAAAGCCAAGTCGGAAACAACCAACCAATCCAGTCCTTCCACCTATTACAAGACACCCCATGGTTGCTGATATGGCTGTAATTGCTCCATAATCACCATAATTTTGAATAGAAAACTCAACAACATCACTTGGTGGGAAAACAGTGCATGATGCATAGTTAGTTATATCAGTCAGTCTAATAAGGTATGCAACTCCAGCAATAGTCAATGCATAAAGCATGTATGGGTTCTCAAGTGAAGTAGGAACCTACAAAAGAAGATATCACATCAGTATGATATATTTGCACGTAAAACATAACTTTGAAATGAAATTAAAAGGGGCTGCCAAACATAGAATGATAGAAAAAGAAAAAGAAAAAGAAAAAGAAAAAGAAAAAACCTCTTTTTTGCATATAAAAGCAAATGGGCATAGAGCATTAGCAAATTCAAGCCGCAATCCAACCCTTGGGAATTCTTCAAAACTGTGGAATTCGACTATCTCCAGGACATTTGGACAACTCTGGTCTATTCTCCTGTTATATCACAAGTCATCAGCATGAGACATGTATGCATACTATTTATCTTGGCATAATGACTTTGATGGTTTTTATATGATTATGTTTCAATTCAGTTTTATATGGAGTACCCTTTATAATATATTACAACTTGATGATAGATTCATGATGGATGTCCCACCCATGTGTCACGATCTACTGAAATTATAATCTTATTTTAACCATAGGCACTTCTAGATGCTAACAAAATTGGAGCTTTTATTAGCAGGATGTGTTGCTAGTAGGTACCCCCATACTTCAAATCTCAATAGTTGCTTAGTGTTTACTATAACAATTTGGTTATGTTGAAACTTGTGGCTTCATAGCAAGAGAAGGAATGACAAGAGCAAAAAGGGCTTAGTGATATGGTGTATGTGAGCCTGTGAGGTACAATCAAACTCATCAGGAGCAATATTCTCCTCATATACTCCATCCACTTGCCTATGTAACATCAACAATTGCAATGAACAGATTGCTAAACATTACCAGCATTAGCATTATTGATCATTCTACATGAACTTTTAAGATAGTATCTGGTTACAAGGCAACTAGGAGCGTTAAATCAAAAACGAAGTTGTATGAATCTTTATATGACTGGTTATGTTGACTTTTCATGGTCCAATTTTAGAATTGACAGCATACATAAAGCTGCTATGGAGTCAAATCGACATGTTTATCTCTTTACTGAACACAGAGTATGCAAGGAGCAAGGGACAAGGGGGCAAGGTTTAGCCGTACACTATTAAGAAAAACAAAGCGAATGAAAGTATATATTTAGCAGCAACACGGTAAGAATGCTTTAGGTTTACCAAATGAAATAGGTAGGAGGGTCTCCAATACTGCAGCATGATGATACGTCGACGGTAAGAGGAGCAAAGGGCTCAGGCGATGGTGGAGGCGACATAGAAGTAGTGGTTGAAGGGACAGCGATGCTGAACCATTTGATAGAATCGCTGCCGATTATCGGAACCTCCATACCGGCAAAAGACGACCGAGCTGCCATCGATCGTGGTGGAGCCACGGAGGGTTTGTGCTGAAAACCTAGTCTAGTAACTGTAGTAGAGCGAGGGAAGGGTTTAGGGAGGGTATGGAGGGAGATCCGGGGTAGAAATTTTAAATGAAAAATATGATAATTTGATTAATTTCCAATCCATTGTAAAGTTTGTATCGATACTTTTTTAATCAGGCTTAGTTTGGTCATCATATATTAACCTCTTTAGTTATTTAACCTCTTTAGTTATTTCATGGGATAATGAGCATCAACTTTCAACTTTGCTCATATTTAGTTATTAATTTTTTTTCTGTGACTCTTAAGTTATTTGAAATTGTTTACATTTTATACATTTTACGTTTATGACCCTAAGCGTAAAATGTGACAATTTCAAATAATTCATGGGTAAATCAAACACAAAAAGGTTTAATGATTGAATATGAACAAAATCCGAAGTTTGTTACCCTTAAATGGTTCTAAATGTTATTAAAAATGAGCACAAGCGGAATATGGAGGTCACAAAAGTGAAGATGTTGTAGTAATCGTGTAATATACATTTATCGTAGAATGTAGAAACGACTTCAATCACATAGAAATTGAAGGAAAAAATGTTGTGGTTTCCGGCAAGTACTTAGAACATAGGCGATGGTTATCACTCTAAATGGTGGAGACGGTCGTTGTAGATCGTATGAGGAATAGAGAACATAGGATGAAGAAGTGTGTAGATAGTGCGATGTTAGATTTGAATGAAGTTTTTTTCTTTATGACACGAGCTTTAATCAGAGAGTGTGGATGCATAAGATCAGGGTCGTGGAGCAGTACATGAGTAATCTAGGTGCTAACTTTCTATACATTGTGCATTTTGCCCAGTTTTCTCTTTTTTAACTTTCAACTCGTTTTGTCGATACTTTCTTCCTATTTATTACTTGCATCTACCTTTTCTATTTGTATGTTGGTTGTATATTGTAATGTCCACAAATTCGGGCTAGTTAACTTAGAGACAATAAGCGTTAAAAATAACTTTTTGATAGAAGATTATTTAGAGTAGATAATTTTAACCAAAGTTATAGTATATGTCACAAAGATTTTATACATATAAAGAATGTTAAAACCCGACTTATATCAAAGAAGTTATGACCCGTCAAAGTTTTGTGACAAAACCAGCACAACACCGCGAATTGTAAAAAGTGAATTTTTGATAAACTATTTGTTAGCCTTAGCAATCTAAACGACAGTCGTAGTATATGTTAAACCGAGAGCGTGCATATAAAGAACGTCCAAATCTGACTTCGTTTGATGAAGTTCTAATTTTTCTAAGATTCTGCATAGTAATATACAACCCATAAATCAAATTTTAGATTGATCGATTTTTAGCCGACACAACTTAATGAAAATTGAAGATATCATTAATAGGAGTTCAACGATATAAAGACAGTCGAAAACGGACGTCGAATGACAAAGTTATGAATTTTTAACGGACTTTAACTGTCTAAGTCTGTTAAAATATAACTTTAAAATAAAATCAAACCTAGCCGACGGAGTCTAAATGAAAGTTGTAGGTCACGTCGCTACCTACACGTGAATATAAAGAACGTCAAAAACGGAGCCCGTATGCGAAAGTTAAGGATTTTAGAAGATAATTAGTTTTTGGAATGACCAGCGAGTGATACATGGCGCAATCTGAGCCACTGCTTCCTCCTCACGCCTTGCCCATGGAAAGAGGTGACCTGATTTAGGGAACGGGGCAAGCTGGGACCTAGATACATTGGTCTTTTCAGGGTGATTGCCCGAGTGAGTAAGGTAGCTTACCGATTGGAGCTGCCTGCAGAGTTGAGCCAGATTCATAACACCTTCCACGTGTCCCAACCGAGGAAGTGTGTAGCCGATAAGACGACAGTGGTTTCTTTAGAGGACATTCAAGTTTATGAAATCCTGAACTAGATTGAGAGGCCGATTGTGATCTTGGATAGGAGGGTGAAGGTCTTAAGGAATAAAGATGTGCCCCTGGTTCAGGTTCAATGGCAACATCGGAAAGGATCTGAGTGGACTTCAGAGTCAGAGTCCTAGATGCAGGAGCAGTACCCAGAGTTGTTTCCAGAGAATGACTTTGAGGGTGAAGTCTGATTCTAGTGGAGGAGAATTGTAACATCCCGACTCCTAGTTATAATATTTAATTAATTTATTTTCATAATTTCAGAGCAACTCGACGAGTTGGATGCCCCAACTCGCCGAGTAGAGGAGTTAATTTGGTGTAACATCCATAAATTTTATGCCAAATTTATACTTTTTCAGTCATAAATAAAATCAAACAGCGTTTGTTTACAAAAATGTTTTCAAATCAATATCCATCAGAGTGTCCCAAAATCATAACATAAGGATGAGGAGCGGTACGGTCACGCCTTCGCCTTGCCATGATCTCCTGAAGTACCTGAAACAATAAACTGAAAACTGTAAGCCCGAGGGCTTAGTGAGCTACCCCCAAAATACCAATACCACACTAACAATACCATATCAGTCATAATCAATCAATCAATCAATCATTCATTCAACATGCATACTAGGCCATCGGCCTGACTGGACCGCCCTACCGGGCCTACAGTCAGTTTGGATCTATCCCGAGCCTTCGACATGACTGTTCGCCACGTGGGCCTACAGTCTCCCCGGACCGCTCATAGGGTATGTTGGCCTTCAGCACAAAGCAGGACTGCCTCAACCCAACCGACAAGCAAATAACCATGTCCTCATAACTATCATATACTGGCATACACAAACATCAAACATATCTATCTCACTGATCATCAATCATAGAATTCTCCTGTAACTAGAGTACCAACCTAGCAGGTCACTAACATACCAATCCCTACGGATCATAAGAGCATAACATATTGTCTACCCTGATTCCATTCTAACAGATCATAACCACATGTAGCATACCATAACAATAACTAAAGGGCCGACCTTGGTGTCGTAGACCCTATCGATATAGTGAGGATAACTCACCTCGCAGATGTCGACTTGGAAGTCAAACTCCAACTCTCGGATCACTTAACACAGGCTCCACCACTTATTATCATAGTACAATATACTCGTAAGTCCTTAACCTTGTAAGGTACTCCATAACCCGCTAGTCAATCCTTGATCTAAGTCAAAGTCCTCAGTCAAGGTCAATAATCCATGTTGACCTTGACTCGTCGAGTACCATCGGCTACTCATCGAGTTCCTTGAAGCATATTCCAACTCGCCTAGTCATCGGGGTGACTCGTCGAGTTCCTTCGATTCTCGACCAAACTTTAAGGCCACCCGTCGAGTTTCCTCCTTGCAACTCAACGGATACACATGCATACATGTCCTGGAGAAAACTCATCCGACTCGCCGAGTTGTTCTTCAACTCGTTGAGTCTATGGAAATCATCATCGGACTCGCCGAGTTGTTCCTCTAACTCGTCGAGTTCACGGCCATCTTCATGTGACTCGCCGAGTCAACCTTGCGACTCGTCAAGTCCATTCAATCATTTTTCCATACAGACCTATTTTGAGTCATGCAGCAGCTCCAAATCACAGATACAAGCTTCTAGGGCATGCTTTTCACATAAAGTTGCAAACTTTACGTGCATGCATAGCTACAAAGGTTCTAAATGCCAAAGCTAATCTCTTAATGGGATGTCATGCCCAAGGAGGGCCTCATTCACGACCAATACAACAACTTTATGATTCTAAAACTTAAGGATGGTCCAGATCTGAAGTTACAACTTCAGATCTAGCCCATAGCCCACCTTATCAACCTCAAAATCCACAACCCCCCCCCCCCCAAAAAAAAAAAAAAAAAAAAAAAAAAAAAACTCAACAATAGGAAAAAAGGAAGTAAGGATGGCAACTTGATACCTCCAAGAGATGCTAGTTGAGGTAAATTCAGCTTCCCACACCTTCCTTGCTTTAATTCCTTTACACTTCTAACTTTTCTCTTCTAGCCAACCTTCTTTCCAAGCTTAAGACACACAAAAATGGAATACCACACGAATTAGGGTTTTAAGGAGATCGCAAAGACTGTAAAGAGGCCAAAGGAGGGTGAGGCTCCTTTAAATAAGGTGCAAAACCCCGGGATTTAGGGTTTCATCTGCCAGATACTACTCGCCGAGTCCTAATATGGACTCGTCGAGTAGGTCGCTTAACATGCAATCCCACCCTGCTGCTACTCGACGAGTAGGGCAACCAACTCGTCGAATAGAACTTAACCCAATAAATCATATTTAAGAAATACCTGAGAATCGGGGCGTTACATTTGGCTGCGTGATTTCTAGAGTCTACTCGACGCGTTGGAGGACCCTAACTCGACGAGTAGGTGCTGAGTGAGAAAACCCTAATTTTCAGGGTTTGTGTCCTATTTAAAGGACCTTAAGCCTTCATTTTCGTCTCCCTTATCACCCTAGCACTATGTGAAAAACCCTAATCGAGTTGTAACCTTGTATGTGAGAAAGAGAGGCTAATATTGTGTGTTTTAGTGCATCTTTGAAGGAAATTCGAGGAGTAAGAGGCTTAAGACGAGAGGGAGCTTCTGGATCTGGTGTTCATTCATTCTTTACTCCTATATGAGGGTAAAAAGTCACCACCTTGCTCATTGTTTGGTTAGATCTCATTTCTAAGGAGTTTAGAGACTTTTTTCATCTTTCCTTGAGTTCTAAATTGTTTTGGGCTTGCCAAGGAGTTGAGACTTCAGATCTGAACAATATGAGAACCCTTGAGCCTAAAAGGCCCAAGTTTTATCAAGCTAGTGGCAAGCTTTGATGCATGTAACCCTATATAGAGCTTATATTGGCATTTCGAGCCCTAGATGCCATGCATGGATGTAAATCTTGCAGCTTTACGTTGTATCTCATCCTTGGGAGGCTAGATCTAGAGTTTGGGACCTTATTTCAGTCTTAGGAGGCTAGATCTAGACTGGACGTGCTACAACTCGGCGAGTTGATGAGACAAGTCGACGAGTTGAGTTGGATTTCCCCGATACTTCTAAGAAAATAAAGGAACTCGACGAGTCGCGTAGAGGCACTCGACGAGTTTCGTTAACATGGACTGTTGACTTGAGCGATGACTTTTGTTGATTTTTAGGGTTTGGTCAACTGTGGATTTTAGAGTCCAT